ACCCTGAAAATGTTTCCAGTGAAACTCTGCTTAACAAACAAACAAACAAACAAAAAGGGAAAAATGCTTCATTTTACCACCTGCAGAAAAGGAACTGCAGGAGGGAAGGTGCAAGTGCCTGGCTGAGCAGGCTGGCCTGGAGCACTGCAGGGAGGAGGAAGGAAGTTCCCAGTTTAGGGAGCTCCCTTCTCACACAACCAACCCCAGGATTCTGCAGAAGAGAACCCGAGCCCCCCGATCCCTGGAGACACCCCGCTCGCTCACACACCCCTGGGCCCTGCTAACACCAGGCCCTGGGACTCACCGGGCTCTTGTGGGAGGGGAGCCCAGTCCCAGGGGAAGGGGGGACCCTGTGGAGACCCCAGTTGCCCCCAAAGATCACCAAGCTCCTCAGTGACTGCCCAGACTCACCGCATCTGTCTTTTCCCTGCTGTAGACACTGAGGAAAGGCAAGGGAAATGCAGGGAAACAGCCATAAACCCCCCCAGGGGTGAAGCCCTCAGCTAATGACAATCCACTTTAATTACCCTGCCCTTAAACCACCTGTCAGTGCCTGAAGGGGCTCCAGGAAAGCTGGGGAGGGGCTTGGGACAAGGGCAGGGAATGAGGTGACAAGAGGGAATGGGTTAAAACTGGAAGAAGGGAGATTGAGGTGAGAAATTAAGAGGAAATTCTTGGCTGTGAGGGTGGTGAGAGCCTGGCCCAGGCTGCCCAGGGAAGCTGTGGCTGCCCCATCCCTGGGGGTGTTGAAGGGCAGGTTGGATGGGGCTTGGAGCAACCTGGGCTGGTGGGAGGTGTCCCTGCCCATGCAGGGGGGTTGGAGGTAGATGATCTTGAAGGTCCTTTCCCACCCAAACCAGCCTGTGATTCTGTGATCACTGCTTGGAATTGGTGCCACCAGGAGCTGCGTCTCCTCCCTGGTGGCGTGGGGAAGAGGGGAGCAGGTTTGATGGCTGGGGATCGGGGACCCCAGCCCCCCCAGCAGCGGCTCCGCCCCCCCCCCCCCCCCCCCCCCCCAGGCGCGCG